TAAATATTAAATGTTTCTCCCACCAATATTTCAGTGATTTATAATAGTGAAGTGAGCAAATTAACCCAACAAAAATTCTTCTTCTTCTTCTTCTTCTTCTTCTTCTTCTTCTTTTTTTTTTTAATTGACAAATTCAAATCGAAGTAATAATTCAATTAATTGTGACCAAATGGCAATTTGGGAAACGAACACATAAGAGAAAAGAAAAGAAAAGATGATGCATGGACCTATGTCTTGGACTACCCACATTGGGCATAATGTATCTGGGCCTCCTGATAAAGCCCAAGTGTAAAGTAAAACATTGTTTTCAAGATGAGCTTTCGGCTACCTCTACAAAATTTAAAGGGAATTTATTAAGTAGTGGGATTTCATAATATTTAAAAAATTCCAAAAAAATCACTATTTTCGATGGATTATTTTTTAGTTTTATTTACTATTACCATTATTATTATTATTATTATTATTATTATTATTATTATTATTATTATTATTATTATTACTGCTTAAATGGAACAATTTATTATTTATTATCATCATTTATATTATTACTTTTTGAATATAATTATTAGAATATCGAGTGTTAGTTTACTTTCTACTCTTCGTGTGAAATTCCATCAACATACATTGGAATATACTATAATTTCGTAGAGTTCACACCGAAGTCATATCGAGATAGTAAAGTTTGATAGATTCTATAAAATTTTTAAATTGATGATACCAATAAATTAATGAAATTTTCAAATTTCATATTGAGAAGCCCACAATTAGTCAATAAAAATAAATACACACTTTAATTTTTATTTTTATTTTTTTTTTTATAAAAAAAATAAAGTCAACCGTATCATCATGTATCTCATGCATCCTATCCGTTAACATAATAATAAAATAACAATCCCAAAGCTCAAAATAGGCACGCCCTCACGAGTCAAAAGTCACAAGAAAAAAATGTACCTAACGGTAACATAGTTTTTCAAATTAAAAAAAAAATACAATTATTATTATTAAAATGTTTGCCATGTTAAGGATAATTTTTAATTATAACAATTCAACATATAGGCTGTTGTTTACTTGTTTTAGGGAAATACTACAGTCACGTCATAGAATCATTTCGTCGGGATTTGTAATCGTCAGATTATCATATAATCGTCGTTAATAGTTGATCAAACAGATACAAGCCCGAAGGAATGGTTTGTAACGGGCCTTGGAATCTCCCGTTGTTTTATTAATTGATCATTTTGTCCCTTAATTGAAGCTGTTGGGAATATTTATGACATTTGTCATGGTATATATATAATATATTGGCTGACATATTTTATGGAGTTATACAACACAAATGATGTTGTTGTTAGGTGAGTTCAACCCTTCATATATATATATATATATATTTTATGCATTATGTCATTTATAATTTCATACTATTTTATTTTTTAAATATATGACATTAATTATGTCTAAATTAAGCACAATAACAGAATTACTATTGTTACTAATTAATTATTAGACAATCATACTTAACAAACATGCATATAATTTCATTATATTTTGGTATTATATTTAAGTATGAAATTATATATATATATTTATTGAAATACTATGAGTAATTAATCAGCAGTGTATTATATATATTTTTAGTTACCCTATAAATCAACCATTGAAATAAAATGAAATTAAAATATTTGGAGACTAAGCACCAACTTTCAACATGCTAGAGAAGAACAACATATTAAATTAAGTCACGAGTTTCTTTGTCCATTTACATACAACCATGAAAAGAAAAAAAAAAAAATAATAATAATAATAAAAAGAACAATAATAAAATAAAATAAAATAAATTCAAGATCTTATTATTCCTTGATTTGTTGTAACATTCCTATTGGTTGATCAATGTACCAAAATTCTTGTTTTTTTTGTGTCCATTAGTCAAATTTAGAGCAATCACACTCATATACACACAAATGAAGCTATATTCATAATTTTATTGGTGAAGGTAAAGCTAGTAAAAGTTTATAGAACAAGAAAATGGATGAACAACTATGTGAGAAAAATGAACTAAAATGCATGTGGGCTGGCATTCTTAGCATCCTTAACTCCTCCTACCAAGGCCACCGGCCGAGTCCTTTCAGAATGATTTCAAGCCGCCGAGCTGCGAAAACGAACGTTTCTGGTATTTATTTAGCTCGTCTTTTGAAACCATAAGTCGAACACTCTTCGCGTTTTTTTTGTAATGGGTCGAACAGTTTTGTTATAACATTGTTAATTGTTTTGTTTTTCATTCATTTCATTTGCAGCAAATAAGTCGAGAAAGCTAGACGATGATTCGCCTGTTGGTTTTGATGAAAAATGTCGAAAACTTCAAGTAAGTATGTTTGGGAGTCCGAATCCCTTCTAGCTGGATTTGCAGTTTTGTTTCGTGTCGTGTCTTATCGGGTCATTAAGAAAAAGTAAACTCATAGGGCTGCGAACGAGCCGAGCTAAGTCGAGTATTTGCCTTATATATCGAGCAAGATTGATTTTTTCTTTTCTACCTGCTCGATCTCGATTTAGGACACTTGAGATCAACTCGACAAATGAAGACAATCGCTCGAGCCCGGCTCGAGATCGATTGAAATCAAAATGATCGAGAGATTGCTCGAGATCGACTCGATAACATGCTCAAGCCGCTCGAGTTCGGTCAAACTCGAGCTCGAGCTCGAGCTGAGCTTTTACTTGAGCGGCTCAGTTCATTTGAAGCCCCAACTAATAATACATATCAATTTCCTTTTGTCACAGAACAAAGAAGCAAATATTGGCATTGAAAAAAGAAGTGTGAGGAATCTTATTCAAGATGATATGTACATCGACAGCCACGAAAACAAGAAAATTTCCAAACTCGTCGATCGCCCGATAAAAACTCACAAGGAAGCTAGAAAAACGAGCCGTCTGAGGGCAAATCAGTCAAGTTTCGAATCCAATGCCAAATGCTCGATCAATACTCAGCCTTCTTCAACTTCACCGGAGGTCGATGAGGAAATCATGCAGCAGGCTAGAATGAGCGTAAAAGCTTTTATCGATGAAATGTTTGTTGACAGTAAATTAGTAATACGCGAAGAAAATCCCACGAGCAACGAGCCTTTACCCTTCTCAGATGCACTGCACGTTTTGAGCTCGTACAAAAAGGATTCCGATTGCTCGATAATTAGGCCGTCTCATAAAGCATCGCACGGAAAAATTCGAAAACCTGCAGTTTTTTTCTCTGTCAAGGACATAAAGCACAAGTTGAAGCATTTGAGGAAAGATGCTCTTCCTCACAAAAGATCTCATTCTGGAAATGATTGTAAATTTTCATTTTCATCAAAAAATGGAAAGGAAAAGGCTCGAAAAAGAGTAGAGTTTAAGGAGGCCGAGAAGAACACGCGCAAGAAAATCGATTTCTCGATTTCGGGATTTTCGAATAGCGACAAGACAAATTCATTTCTGACAAGAAGAAGCACCGATGAAGATTCTTCTTCACACGATAGCAGCATTTTCGAAACTGGCGATACGAGGTTTAACGGTAAGAGAGATATTAACTCTGTTAATAACATATAACCAAACATTTGGTTCATTTGGTTCATTTTTTCTTATTATATAATCTGTCGGTCTCGGTTTTTTCTTTTTTTGCAGATGAGCCGCAAGTAACAGAAACAGAGAACACTGTGATAACGAGTTCTGCATCGGTAGGAACTTTCTAGATGCTTCTAGATACCGTTATTATTATAACATTCTTTGTTCATCGTCTTTTCGATAATGCTAACACATTTAAGAGCATTTCAGGGCTCGGTTTCGGAGAATGAGACATTTACGAGCACAACTGATGAACAAGAAAGCCCGATTTCTGTTCTCAAGCAAGTGTTTTTCACAGAAGTAGCTAATATTAGTCCATCAAACACCATTCTTCAAACTGGTAATTAAAAGCTTAGAAAAATTAGAAAAGAATATTAAAAAGTTCATACATTTTTCTGTTTACGAGCAAGATGGCCGACTAAAGTTCACATTTTGAAATCATTTTTGTTTTCAGGCAGAAGAAAGAGACCACATCATAAACGTATTTTCTTCGAAAGTTGCTCAATCGAGTCGTATCCACAAGATGATCAACCAATAGGCGAAAAAGATTTCATCTCGAAATACGTTCATTGGTTGCTTCAAAGTTCTTTTTTAAACTGGGAAAAGTTATCTGAACTCGGTCCACGACCCGAAAGGCTTCTTCTCCATTCGTACTCATTCAATGAAACCGAGCTTTTCGCTTCAAGTCGATATATCAATCACAGGCTTCTTTTCGATCACGTGGAGGAAGTTTTACACGAAATACACAGATCCCATTTTTCCTTTTTCCCTCGGCAAGAAGTGTTGAAACATGAAAAGAGTGTTTTGCCATTGGAAAAACTCGTTCTTGACGAGATAATGAGAAAGCCTTCAGCTTACAACTTACAACTTACATCGACTGAGGGAAGAACAGGAAACGAGCTTCTCACGAGTGATGTATTGGATTCAAGATCGTGGATTGATGCACGAACTGAAGCCGAATATATTATTGTTCATATTTCGGAAAATATTCTGGAGGAATGTGTATTGGATATCATACTTGAGTCTCATTCATGAAGCCTTTGCTCGATTTTTTTTTTTAACTTTCTGATTTAGGCTTGAATTCTTGGCTGATTGATGCTGAGTGTGTTAAAAGATGAGAAACTTAAATGAAGATAGATGTATTATTTAGTTACTAGCTATCTGTAAAAGTACATTTTGATATTGATCAACAAACAGATTCATTTGATCACAAACGAACAGATTCTTCGTCCAAAAAAGATGGGACGAATCAGATAGCGCCATCTGGCTGCAGCCCGTCTTTCGTCCTGCACGCGAATCAAGAATGATTAAAAGGAAGATAACCGTGCGTGGAAAACGTAGCAAAGAAAACGATGATTTGAAACCGAACATTTTTCCGCATGAATTCTTGATTTCTTATAGCCTTGTTTGTTTTCTTGGTTGATAACTTCACTCACAGTTACACTATAGTAATGCATATCATTTAACTCAATCAACTCATAATATCAAATTACATAGCACATGAACTCTTATAACCTTGTTTTGATCACTTAACTAAGTTCATGAAATGATTTGAAAACTAATATAACTATATGATGATATGCTCATGCATGCCCCATAATTAGATTACAAAAAAAATAAATATGTACAAACATTTCGGACAAACTGATTCATTACGGTTCGATTATCTCATCTTGACTTCTCGAACCCATAGATCCATGAATCATGAATCGAGATCCCGATGCATATCGATACAAATGGTCCAATATAGAAGCCAACATTTTCGAAACAATTTAGGAACATTTTGTTATTGAACAACAAAATCGTTTTCAGATAATGTTCGATCGATTATGCATTAATCAAATATTCGTTTGATTGTTCTGAGGCTATCGATATTAACAAAACCACATATATATTTTTCGTTCATTTTTTTGGTTAATTTTATTAAAAAAAAAAAAAATTGTTACATTTAGCATTAATCAAGTGATTATTATTTTTATTTATTTTATTACATAATAGCTACTACTATATAACAAATTATAAAGTCACAGTAAATGATATATGGAATTATATACATATAACAAATTCTATTAATGTTAAACATTTTTAACACTATTATAATTACTAGTACAACGCCCGTGTATTACACGAGTACATGCTAATTTTTTCTTAAAATCTAAAATTAATGAGAAAATATAATTAAAATTTTAAATACCTTTTATAAATATATATGTATATTATTATATATTTAGTATGACACTTTTTTATTTGTGCGACTTACTTGTGTTATATTATAATAATTTTTTAACTTACAACATATAACTACATTAAACATAAATATATCAATTGAGAAATAATTTTATTTTTCTAATGAATTTTAATAAATATTATTATTTTTTATTATTATAAAGATAAATATAATTTATTTATTTCATATATATACAATATGGACGTCAAATCGAAGATCATCGAAAGATGATCAATTTGATATATTATATTTTTAAAACCGATAAGAAATACAAAAGTTATCAACTTTTAAAATACATTTACAATTAAATAACTAATTGAAGGAAACAAATCAAAAGTTAGTGATATATTAGTCACTTAATGTCTCACTATATAAAATTACAAAGAATTAAAAGGTTATATTAGTACAAGTGATATTAAAATACCTAAGTTAACTAATTAATATTTATGGAATGTCCGAACCTAGATTATTAATTATTAATATATCAATATTATTTGTCCAAATCTAATTACGAAGTATGATTCTTTGCTAAGTAGGATTTCGAAGCACCAGAAGCAGCCATGTAGGCTCAGCGCATTCAAGGAGGATATTTTCTTTCAGCTCATTAAGGAATTTTTATTAAAATTAATTAATTATTTTTAATCAAACCCTTTAAAATTATGTACAGTAATAGTAATTTTAATATTTTTTTTATCTAATTAATTGATCATAATTACTCAAGATTACATAAATTACATTATTTTTGCAATCAATATGTTGATTCATGTATAATTTAAATAGTTTAAATTTAGGCAAAATTGCACTTAATATCATGACCTTTTTTAAAATTGAAATTTAATCACGACTTTTTTCATTTTTGCAAGTCATATCACAATCTTGAGTTAGTTGCAAATTTGGTGTACCGATTTGCATATATATCCCATGCAAACTATATCAAAAATCTTCAGCTTGCTTTTTGACCGCATCATCTTTTCTATGACCGTTTTCAGACTGTTTGAAACAAACTAAAGATTGTGATATAATCAGTAAAAGTGACAAGGTCCTGATAGTGTTCATATTTACTAATGATAAAATTTGAATTAATTGAATGAAAATATTCAGTTACATGTATCAAATTAATTTCCAATACTCATCAATAACTAACTAAGAATGGCTGTATTTTAAATGCCTAATTTTTGGCCCTATGACCCAATTAGTGCCTTAATTGGAAATTTGTTACCTTTTTATGTTTCCTCATTACATATAGTTCCCCAGCAAAAACATGTTATTTGTTTGGCCTTCAAGATTAGAGTGCTGCAATTAAATTAAGTGGACTGATGTAAACTGATAGATACTTTGTCTCATGAATTTGATTTAATTAGCATTTCAAAAATTAATTGTAACTACTAACTAG